CTTTGTTTGGCCCTACTTCCTGAGGTAGAGCAGGATATGCTTGAGGCTTCAAATTGAAATGTATGAAGAGTGTTTTTAGACCACCATGACACCTCTACCAGGTGTCATGGATTCTTAGTCCTAGTGTTTGGAGCTGGGCCTGAGGGTGAGACCATGCTTCCATTACCAGCAGCGGGTGGTGCGGACAAAAGCACGGACACACCCTCCCTGTGCGCTTCTCTTGAAGCTCACATACACTGTTGCAGTCTCCCTCTTCATCCACTTCCTGTGAACAAATTTGCATGGTTCTGGCAAAGTTTTAGATCTAAAATGAACATTTAATATAAAAGTCATCCTCTAAAACAGCTGGTAAGTCGGTATCCTATCCCCCTAATTATAAATGCATAGACAGCGTTCCTTATACTGTGGGAATGTGCAGGTGGGTAGTGATTTGGGGAGATCCAGAGTTATCCTACCACTGGGTCCAGAGAGTCTTTGTTATTCATCAGTCCCTGGGTAGAAAAACTATGAGGAAGAGAAAGGAGCAAGGAGTTGGGGACAGAACCACAGAGATTATTACACTAGTGCTGCCCCACTGGAGCTCGGCCTCTCCCTCCCCCCCTCCCTCTCTCCCTCTCCCCCTCCTCTCTCTAGCTCTCTTCTCCTCCCTCTCTTCTCTTCCCCCTCCCCCTCACTCTCTCATTTTTCTTTTTCTTTCCCTTTCCAGGAAGCTCTGCTCATTTTTATTAGTGGCCATTTGTTTATCTTCATCTAAGCAACCTATTGGGGTAGTCCTAAAACTATGCCAGCTCTCTTTGGAGTCTCTGGCAGTTCCCAGAAGGTTTTCACAGACACACTTTTATTTCATTATATCGGTCTTCATTTTTTTTTTTTGTTTGTTTCTTAAAACTACAATTCGTGTTCTGATTTATAATAAAAGAGTACAACACCCCCCCATAAGTCTTCTAAATTTGAGGGAAATATTACGATCCATGATTTCCAAGAATCCTATGTATGAGGTAACAGTGACCCTAGAATATATAAAGACCCTTCAGACATAAAGGCCTGAGGTCATATGTCACCGGTATGCTGTCATACACCTTCTCAATGTCCTTTTTAAACAGATAATTCATTGAATGCATACATCGAGGAAACTTACAGTGTAGCATTGTAATGTGGGCAGCTCTTAATTGAAATGAGAGGGGAGGTAGATCAAACCACTCTCCCGATGTTGCCATTTCATATTTTTCTAACACAGTAGCTCTCTTCAAGTAAAAGTTAGCAGGGTTGAGCATGCTCACTGCCTCAGATACAGGTGAGGTTAGAAATGGAAATCAGAACCTTTGTAACTAACTACTTGGTTTTTGATAGATGTTTTAGGTTCATAATGGGCCTCTAATTAGCATTAGCCCTACTGCTCAGAATAGAAGACTGAGGCTCCAAAGGTTAATGACTTGCTGGTATGTACAGATGCTGACCTAATTTTTAAACTCAGTTACTGAGAGGGCCTACCATGCCCTTTTCATCCAGGACAGCATTAGCTCTAACAGGTAATTCATAAAAAGCATCTGCCAGTTAGGACTACTTCCTGGCTTCATATGTAACACTTTGGAGAAAGCAGCAAACCTGTTGGAAAGGGTTCCTAGGAGGCTGGAGGTGTGGGGACCGAGCCCTTGTTGAGAGCAGAGGCTTGAGCCTGTACTGGTCAGCATGTGTTATTTTACACCTGAGGACTCTTGTCCCAGTTGCACTGTAGTTATCTCCAAGTCTACAAACATTTTCCTATGCTTACATTTCTTACTTAAAATTGAAGAGACAGTCAATTTAAAGAAATCAGCAACTTCTTTCTTGTCTGCCTTTGGGGGCTGGGGCATGAATTTCTTTTTCTAACTTTTATCTAACTTCTCTCTCTTTTTTTTTTTTTTTTTTTTTTTTTTTCCTGAGTTGGTTTTTAAACATGCAAATCCTTGAAATAAGCTTTTGAGACCAAATGGACTTTTTTCTTTACAAATAATTTCAGTTTGGTCTTATCATCATATCTAAATGACACAGGTGGCCTGTGTGGGCCAGCCATCCTTTCCTTGATTCATTTAGTTCATATATACTTTGTGTTTTATACGTTAAATACAGTCATGATTTTAAAGCCTTTTTAAACTGAAAAGTAGACCTTTACGTTTTATCTTTCCCATTTTTCCCCCTCCCTGCACTTAGTTATCTTTGGCAGTAATCCAAAAGAGCAAAGCATTCCAAGTAGAATTGAAGTCCCATGACACCATTGACCTAGAGGAGGCTGGAAGTGAGGAAACTCCTGGGGCTTGAAGGCCAGCTTGCTGGCAGCCATTTGCATTCTAAGGAGAAGCACGTGCAAAGTGAATAAAGCAAAGCCAGCAAAATCCCAGTGTTCAGAGCCTTTTCAAATAAAAACTGCAGAAACTTGGCAGTTTTTCTGGCACATTCTGCACAGCAGCTGTTTCTAAGGAGCCATAGTGACTTCTCTGGTGTGTGCTTCTTTATTGATTTGTGAATTGTGAATTATCTGCGAGGCTGCAGTTTCCTTTTTACTTGGGATTATTATCCATGGATGTGTGCTATAGAGGAATCAGAAAAAAATACAGAGCAAATCTAAAGTCTCAAGTTGGTTGTCAACGCCATAAGTATGTGCTCATTGAAATTTACCATAGACTATGTCCAGTTGCAGCTTGTTTCTTTGAAACAAATCATGAAGGGGAAGTGGAAAGGAACAAGGGTGGTTGAAAGGATGAGGGAAGAAGTTGGTCCTTAGGTGTGTAATCTGGGAAAAATAGAAGGAACTTCCATATGGAAGAACTTCTGAAAAGGTAATATTGTTCCTTCTGAGAAATGCCAATAAACATTTTTGAGAGGGAAACTAGTGTTATGAAGTTGATATGAGACAGTAGTTTATCTTGGTAGAGTTCTTAAAGTCAATAGCGTTACTAAGCAGGGTTGATAATAGTGTATCTACTTTTCTCCAGGTGGTGAGGTGTCATCAGGACAAAGCTGTTTTAGTTAGATCTCATAGGCTTGTCCCTTTAATACGGCAATCACTCTGAGAGGCCAGATCCCACTGCCTGAAAGCCCTCCCTGGGATGGTTGCCTACTTTGTTGTGACTTTACAGCTCCTAATTTACCTGTCCTATCCTGAACCCCTGGCTCTGCCATGTTCCTGTCAAGTAGGCCAGTCCAGACAAGGTGGAGGATTTCCACCTTGTCTTCCTTCACTGGCCTCCCTTGGTTGCCCCGGAACTATTGCAGATGTTGAGTCAAAAGACTCTCATTTTTCTGACAACTACCTTATTAGCATCATGTCAGTTACACTTACAATCCTTTCCTATGTTTCTAGTTTAGAGCTTTGGATTTTGATAGAATTGGGTAGAAAGTGTCACTGCAGTTTTCCTTCCCATGTGTTCTTGACAACTGAAAATGTACCTGGCAAATACTTTCTGTGAGCAGGTAGGGTGTACCTGCATAGAAATGCAGTTCTAGCAGAAGAGTCCTTAGTCCTTTGGCTTTGCTGTTTTCTTTTTTCTTCCCCCCCCCCTTTTTTTTTTAAATTTGAAACAAGGTTGTTTTTTACATGTCAATCCCAGTTCCCTCACCCTTCCATCCTCCCTTATCACCCCCCACCAAACCCCAGCCCCTCCCCTTTCTGCTCCCCAGGGAGGGTGAGGTTTTCCATGGGGAGTCTTCAAAGTCTGTCATATCATTTGGAGCAGGGCCTAGACCCTCCCCTGTGTGCTGTTTTCCTTACCACCTGTGGTGTATGTGTTCCAGGGACTGTGCCCTCCATTCCTGCCCAGGCAGTGTGCTTCCTGAGCCCTTCACCAGAGGGGCTGAAACTGAGTCTTATTATTTTGATATTGGATGACAACAGCATCATGTAATTGCTAACCAATTTTTGGAAAGTTTGCCAACATCAATATTTTGTAGATAATTTTTTTGGTGTATTGTTTTTCTCCTTTTTCTTATATGCTATATGATTTCTATTTAAAAAAATATTTTTAAAAGAAAACCAAAATATGTTACATTTCTAGTAGAATCTGACAGAGAAGTTAAATCTAAGGAGGCGTGGTACATGCCTATAAACCTATTATTTGGGAGATTAGGCCAGGAGTATTCCTGCATATTAAAACACATTTTCATGAAAATGATAAGAAAAGCAGGAGGGAGAGGCCCTCTACAAGTCATATCAAAGTGAACACGAGAATATTAAAGTCATGCAGTCTTGCTTGTCATAACCAAATACTGGAAGCCATAGGGGCAGAACTGTAATCATCAGTTCTGGTCCTGAATGTGTCATGTCATATGATTTGGGGGCAGCTTCTAGCTGGATTCATGCAGAGCTGATGTTCTTGTGGTTTGCCATGGAGGACTGTGGTTGCCTGCTTACCCCACTCCTATTCCCAGTGGTGTGAATTTGCACTTGTGGAAGAAAATCGCACATCTAAGTTTAGAACTGAGAGTAACGTCACTGTGAAGAAAGCCAAAGGGCACCAGAGCACTTACAGTGACCCATAAGCACAGGTAATCACAGGACTGCTCTGCACACTTCTCATCTGCACCAACTACTGTCTGGCTCATGGCAGACCCAGCACATTTGTCAGAGGGTAGATGAGTTTATTAAATTAATAGATGGCTTTGGAAAGGCAAGGTTTCCATCCTGTGCAAAGATCTGAAGGTTGGGCTATGTGAGCCATTCAAGGACCAAAGTGCCAGCAAGCAACAACATGTAAAGTGCAAATGCCTGTGAGATAACAGTAAAATTTTGGTGCAGGGTATTTTCAAAACTTTAGGATTTGTACTTGATTTAATAATATCAAACTATGGTCATAACAACAAATAAATAGCCAAGAATAAGGCCTGGCACACTTGATAATGTTTGGCAGGCAAACCAATAAGTGCCTCTGACATTTTCTGATTCCTCAGTTAGACACTCCTGATGTTTGAGTTACTACTGACTGGTCTTTTCTTTTCAAACATGCACATTAGATTCTGCTTCGGGGAAGGCTGCAAGAAAATCCTCGTAGCTGACTCTTTGTCGTTGCTGAAGAAAATGCACAGAACCCAAATGAAAGGTGTTCTGGTCGATGGTGGGTAAAGCTGAAAGAACATTCAGGGAGCCCTGTGCCATGCTTTCCAGAGAGGCCAGGCAAACAGAAATGTGCTTAACTGCAGTGTGTGTGTTTTCTTACAGAAGAGAATATCTGTGAATCGTGCCTTTCTCCCATCCTCCCAACAGGTAAGATGCCTACAGGGGAAAGCATCGCCCAAAGGTTAAGATTTTGAAATTAGCTGATGAGTGCCTGTAAAACTGTGTGGACATTACAATTGAGGAAGGATGTCAGTCCCTTCCCTGCTTCTGTGAATTCTGCTGCTGCTGACTGCAGACCAGGGTGTGTCAGCATCTTGGAGCTTTGCATCAACCCACTGCTGGCCCTGCCACAGGGCTCAGAGTTCCAGGGAGTGTGGGCTTGAAAGGTGGTACTTCTAATAAGGTGATGCTAATGGATCTGGTTGGGGGCCCTTCTCTGAGATTCATCAAAAGAAAGGCAAAGCAAAGTGAAAACTTAACCATCCAGATATTTCAATTCTAAGGGGGAAAAAACCCATGTGGATATCTGGGGGAGCACTTGATGAGTGGCTTCAGGTTCACTGTAGTTCTAGGTGCCCAGTCCATAGCCCACCTTGGTGGGAACAGCATTCAGCATCAAATTTGACTGACTCATTGATAGGTAGAGGCTTCTGTTCCTGTTTCTTGGTGGAATACCATACATAAGAAAATGTTCTTTATTGAAAGTCATTCTGACATGAGAAAGGAGCTCATAGTTTGATAGTAGAAATCAAAGCATGGTTTTGAGGATATTTTAATATACAAATCAGCATGGAAAAGTGCAGAGACTTTGCTGCTCAGTTAGCTGGTATTAGGAAGTATTCCATAGCAGAGGAGCATGGAAGTCATTTCACACAAGCTCTGTCCCCAAGGGAGCAGGGTTTAAGTGCTTCTGTAAATCAAGGTGCTTTAGGTACTTTTCAGTGGAAAGGGGGCCAAGGATGCTTCTGTGGAGGGCACTAGGTCTTACCTGAACTAATCTGGCCATACAACAGAAGCAGATGAGAGGCCCTGACCAAACAGAAGTATAGTAAAATGCAGAGCCTGGGGTCCTGACCCAGTTCTGCCTCCAGCCTCAGTGTGAGGTCTCGGTGAAGATAAAGTGAACTGAAACATTTTATCAAGCTACAAGCTGATTTCATTATCTGAATTGTGGTCAAGACACACATGGGAATACATACGTTCCAGTTTTTCAAATAAACATCACAATATTTGCTGTGAAATTATCCTGCACTGTAGTGATATACTATTTATGATTTATTAAAGCTTTTCTGATGACTCAGAAAGCAAAATCAGCCACAAGCCATAGAAGCCACACTTTAAAGGCACATACCTTTAATCCCAGCAGCCAGAAGCTAGGTGGTAGTAGAATACACCTTTAATCCTAGGACTCAGAATTAAGAAGTAGACAGATCTCTGTGAATCCAAGGCCACCCAGATCTACACAAGATTGATGCAGTCCTAAAGAGAAACACCTCACACAAAGACGATTTCATCACCTGGGATCACATGCCTTTAATCCCTGCATTGGTGAAGTATGTAAGACAGGAGCAAGGTCTCAGTATGAGGCATTCATTCTCTAGCCACACTGAGAATAGAACGCCCCAGCCCTTTTAGAGGTAAGAGCTCTCTGGTAGCCTGGCTGCTTTGCTTCCTGATCCTCAGGTTAAACCTAAATATCTGACCTTTCTGGGCCTTTTATTTTTGTGTTACACTGCACTGCTCATTTGGCCAAACAAGTAACCTGAAAACTATAGTTCATAGCAAAGTGATTCTAGTACCAGCGCTGTGCTTGGGCTCCTCACCCCAAGATGCTTTTGTAAGGAAGCCTCAAGTGTTGCTGTTGCTGGGAAATCTGTTCAGGGCTGGCTGAACCATCTCCTGGTCTGCCTGTTGCACTGAATTCTTCTCCCTCTGTTTCCAACCCTTTGCAGATGCGGCTAAGCCCTTCAGTGTGGTGGTCTTCCACTGTCGACACATGTTCCACAAGGAATGCCTACCCATGCCAAGCATGGTACGTTGTCAGCTTGACACCTATCAGCTAAAAAGAAACAGATCAAATAAGACTAATCACAACTACACTATATCATCTTTATGGATCTGGCTTTCTTGATTCTATTAGACAAGACAGTTGGTCCTGTAGCTCTTGCTGAATCCATGGTTGTGCATCCATGGATTGAACCAACCTTGCATCAGCAATATTGAAGAAGGGTACATTGTACTAAGTATATACATTTTCGTTTCTTGTGTTTATTCCTATACAAAACAGCATTACATTGTATTTAATATTGTAAGTAATTGGAGAGGTTTTAAATATACAGGGACTATAATTAGGTTATGTGCTTTTGTAGGCAACAGTGATCTAATTCTCTGTCCAGTTACGTTCATATAACACCAACAAAACATTTCTTGGTCAAGAAAGGCTTTTATTTGCTTACAAGTTAGAGTCATCATGGAATGACATCAAGGTGGAATATAAAGACCAGAAATGAAGCAGAGATCATGGATTTTTTGCTTGGTCAGCCTGCTTTCTTATTTAACCTAGGACCACATGCCTAGGGGTGGTACTGCCTGCAAGGCTTGGACCCTCCCACATCAATTATTAATCAAGAAAATGCCCCACACACTTGTCTACAGGCAAGTGTAATAGAGGCAGTTCCTCAAAGAAGGTTCCCTCTTCTCTGGTGGCTATAACTTGTTATAACTTGTGTCAAGTTGAGGGAGATGGGCGGGGCAGGGGTGGGGTGGGGTGGGGGGTGTTATCCAGGAACAGAAGGAATTGCAAATTGCATAGCTATGGATTTTAGTGTGTGAACAGGGTTCTGGAACTTCCTCTCTGAGTTTAACTTTTCTTTCTTTCTCTCCCTTCCTTTTTTTTTTTTTTTTTTTTTTTTTTTTTTTTTTCATAAAGATATCTTATTACTTTCCAAATGTGAAATATATAGTATAACATAGAATTGTGCCCACTTCAGTGAAATAATGCTAATGACTTCACTACTGGGCTGTGATCTGTGTGGTAGAAAACATTTGAAAGTAGTGGAGCTTTCTCAGCCTGCCTTGTGTGGCATGGTGCTGTTACCCCCAAGGCTGGTTTTGCTGTAGTATCCACTTTTTTTGCCTGTGTGTGCAACTACATGTGCATGTGTTTGTGCATACACACAGAGGCCAGATGACTACCTCAGATGTCATTTCTTAGGAGCCATCCCTTTGCAACAGGGTCCTATCAAGTCATTCAGGCTAGCCGAGCAGTGAGCCCAAGGACCCATTTGTCCATATGCCCCAGCACTAGATCAGAAGCACATGCTACCACGCCTCATTTTGGTTTTGGTTTTAACATAGGTTCTGGGGCTTGAACTCTCGTCCTTGTTCTTGCACTTAACCAACTGAGCCATCTCCTCAGTTCTTTGAGTTTTAGAGTGACAGTAGAAAGAGCATGTTGGAACTAAAATGTCTTGTCCGGAGCAAGGAATGATATTTAACCGCTTCAAAGCCCTCCACCCCCTGAATGATGCTATAATCATGTTTCTGGATATGAAGGGAGACAGTTGTTTAACCCCGTGCTTTTTATTTCTTTTCAGAACGCTCCTGCACAGTACTGTAACATCTGCAGTGCTAAGAGCCGTGGACCAGGAAGTGCCATCCTGGAGATGAAGAAGTAGCCCTGCGTGTTATCAGCCTGCCCTTCGCTACTCTGCTCCATGTGGCTGTTGGGCCACAGCAGCCGTGTTGACATCAGTGCTGTTCAGGGATAACCTGTGCTCTGCATCAGTTGCTCTAGACCTACCTTCCAGAAACTTCTTCCTGTCACTGACACAGAAGTCAGGGCTATTCCCATGCTGTAAAATATTTGGATTCATAATCAATGTTTCATGATTTGTTTCTTTGGTTGCATTAGTTAGCAAATAAAAACCTAAATCTCAGAGTCAGAAATGACTTTGTGACTTAGTCACACCACCAGGTCTGAAGTGCACTGCTGAGAACTGCCCCAGCTGTCTGAGAACATCAGTGGCTGCAGCAGCCTAAAAGCTCTACGGAAAACAAGTCTGTCATTCCTGGCTTCATTGTCTATATGTCATCAACTGTGGTTCACTTCCTAATACACATTTAATGAAACACTGAAGACTGTCACTCATTCAGTGACATATGGGAATACCATTAGCTGATATCCTGCAACTTTATGTTTGATACTTACATTCCATATGTTCTGACTAGTAGAGTATCTGGTCCTATCAGGCACTCAATGAATAAATGTTTTCCTTATCATTATGAAAACTTTATTGCAAGTAAACCAGTGCCCTGTAAGAAATAGAGGGTGAGTTTTTTGGCACCTTAGTAACTGAGGAGCTGTGGTTGGATAAGTCAGGAGGAAGCCAGTGACCCTGTCAGAGCTAGGTGGAGACTCTCTAGAACAGTTGGAGGGCTCAAATGCCATGGACAGGCTTGGGATATGCACTGCCTCTGGGGATTGCCTAACTGCCTCCAAGGATGGGGCAGGCATGTACCTCACTGCCTCTAAGGATGGGCTAGGCATGTGCCTCACTGCCTCCGAGGATGGAGTAGTCATGTGCCTCATTGCTTCAACTTTTTGTTGTTTTTAACATTTCCAATTTAATGTAAAGACTCTGCTTATTAAATGTTATTTCTTCTTTTGCTGTTTAGAGCAGGTGCATGTCCAGGAAAAGTCTCACAATTTATTAACAAGAGGAACTAATTCCAGCACATTTTACTTTCGAGGTTAATTACACTAATTATTAATTACTAGATCACATTTGGACAAGAATCCCTAAGTGCAGAGAAGGAGTAGTAAGTTGTTTTCATTCTTAAGTAACTGAGCTGAGATAAAGTGTGTTCATTCCCTTCTTCAAAAATGACCTTTAAAATCTCCAAAGTAAGATTATGTTGTAAATAGAAAACACTACCCCGCCTCCCTGGATGACTTTTCCTTTTGAAGAAACTGTAGGAGATAGTTGTACTAAAGGATAATCAATCCTTTCCATTATTCACATTTACACAATGGAATACTACTCAGCAGAAAAAGAAATAGAATCTTGAAATTCACAGGCAAATGAGGCAAATGGATGTAACTTGGAAGAAACCATCCTGAGTGAAGTAACCCAGTCACAAAGAGGAACTTGGTATGTACTCACTCATATATGGATTTTAGACATGGAGCAAAAGGATCACCAGCCCATAATTCACACCACCAGAGAAACTAGGATACAAAGAGAAACCTAAGAGAGTTCCTACAAGGTCCCTCACAGAAGGGGAAAGGGATAAGATCCCCTGAGCATATTGGGAATGGGGAGTTTGGGGTGGGAGGGAGTGAGTGGAGAGGGAGTTGGGAGAAAGAGAGGGGAGGAGAGGAGAACATGTGTGACTAGGAAGATTGAGTCAGGGGATGAATGAAGCGAGAGGAAAAGAGAGAGAAAGAGATACCATAATAGAGGGAGCCATTATAGGTTTGAAGAGAAAACTGACTCTAGAGAAATGTCCAGAGACCTACAAGGATGACCCCAACTAACAATCTGAGCAACGGTGGAAAGGCTAACTTAAATACCCTTCCCTGATAATGAGATTGATGCCTACCATATCTGCCATCATAGAGCCTTCATCTAGTAGCTGATGGAAACAGAAGCAGACACAGCCAAACACTGAGCTAAACTCTTAGAATCCAGTTGCTGAGAGGGAGGAGTGATAAGAAAATGGGGTCAAGACCAGGCTGCGGGAAACCCACAGAGACAGCTGACCTGAAAAGGGGGATCTCATGGACCCCCAGTGTGATGGCTGGACAACCAGCTTTGTACTGACTCAGACCCCCTGAATGTGGGCTTCAGTAGAAGGCCTGGACAGTCTAAGGGATCACTGACAGTGAAAGTAGGCTATTCCCTTAGCCTAGAGGCAGGAGGGAGGCCTAGTCCCTACTCCAAATGACTTGACAGATTTTGGTGATCCCTCCTGGAAGGCATCACCCTCCCTGTAGAATGGGGGGGGATGGGATGGGAGGATTTGGGGCCAGGGGAGGGAAGGAGGATGGGGAGGGGAGACGGAACTGGGATCGAGTATGTAAAATAAAAAATAATAAATACATATTTTAAAAGATTTAAATATAACAAAATAATCAAAATGGTAGTCATCGCACCTTTGTAATCTGTAACCAGCCCATAGTAAACAGATCTGAATGGCTGAAGAAATGTCTCAAATCTTAACAGCCCTGGCTGCCCGTTCCAGAGGTTCAATTCTCAGCACCCACATGGCAGCTCACACCTATCTGTACCTTTAGTTCTAGGGAACATGATACCCTCTTCCAGCCTCTGTAGGCAACAGTCCTATGTGGCACACAGACATATATACCACCAAAATGTAAGTACAAATAAAAATTATTTTAAATAAATAAAACATGCTTGAAACAAGCTAGGCCCACTTGTACCTAAGATTAGAGGCACAATTGCTTATCCCTGAAGAAGACTATCCTCTGCATGATAATCAGCCAAGTTCAAAGTTATTTAGTGACAATTTTGGGGTTTTTTATTGCAATGATTACATTTAATTAAAATTTACATGTAAAAGAGAAACTATATCCATTTAATTCTTTCAATGGAGAGTAGTTTTAGTTTTAGTTTTTAATTGTGATAATATTTATATAACAAAATTGATCATACAACTAAACACTGAGCTGAACTGGATCCAGATGCAGAGGGAGGACAAGACCAGGCTGCAGAAACACATAGAGACAGCTGACCTGAACAAGGAGGAGCTAACGGGCCCCCAGACTGATATCTGAGAATCCAGCATGGGACTGACTCAGACTCCCTGAATATGGGTCTCAGCTAGAAGGCCTGAGCAGTCTAAGGGACCTCAGACAGTGAAGCCAGGATGTATTCCTGGTGCATAAAAGGACTTTGGGGGTACATCCCCCCCATGGAGGGATACTGCCTTAACATAGAGGCAGGAGAGAAGTCCTAGTCCCTATTTCAAATGACTTGACAGATTTAGATGACCCCCTCCTGGAAGGCATTACCCTACATGTGGAGTGGGGGGTGGGCTGGCTGGGGGACATGAGAGGGTGGGAGAGAGGGAAAAAAGAAGGGAGGGAGGGAGAGGGAAATGGGATTGATATGTTAAAAAAAACATTTTGTTTTTAAGCAGAATTTCCTACTAGTTAGTGTTCATCCTTGAAAAGTTTTTAGACACTCTCAGTCAGTTGTTTGGTCATTACAGTGCTTTAATACTATAAAGCAAATCTCAGAAGTCACTTTATGTGGGGCTGTTATGAGCCCTTCCCTGTGTCCATTAACCAGCCTACAGCAATATAGGAAGGCTTCTTACTATATCACTGTTTGCCCACAAAGGCTCAGCAGCTCGCCATAGGTCCAAGGTGAGAGTCAGTATGCCAGCTGGCTTCAAACTCCAGCCAGTCTGCCTTCAGAGTGCCTGCTCTTAACCACTCCAGATCTTTCTTACAGAAGTATTCACTTGACCTGATCAGAGTGTAGAAACCCATTCTTGAAAGAGAAAGGTATTTATTAATTATTGTGTCAATGGATGGCAGAATCACTGATGGATCTGAAAACCAAGCTGTATGAAGATTCTAGAAGCATCAAGCAACCACACAGCCTGGCTGCTGTGGCTGCCCTGAAAACCACTGTCCATTTCCCACCAGAGGGCGGCTGCAAATAACAGTAAGAGTCATCATATTGTGGAAATAAAATGTTTATCTGCTTCCCAGTTCCACATAAAAATTTTAATAACCTGAAGGAATACTTAGTAGGCACATACATGTCATCACTTATGAATCCTTGTGCCCTGTGTATGCAAGGCTTTGCAGGCTTTGGCATGATTTTAATAACCCATTGCAAATAACTACAGCCTCTTGTCTGTCACTCCTACATGATGGCAAATGAGTTTCCTTCTGTGCCCTATGCCCGTGCACTGCTGTCGTCCTCTACCACCCAGTCTGCTCAGACAGTCCTCATTCACCTGACCTTAGAGCACTGGTGAGAGCCATCTCCCTTCCCCTACCCAACACCAGATCTGTCTGCCTTTGTCAACCTCATGGTGGTCTGTGGAGCACACGTAGTCTCAGCTCACAAACTCGGGTGCACAGAAGAATACAGTATTTTCTTGTATATAAATTCTGCTTAGTGTCATGTTCAGCTTCTTATGAGGATAAAATTGAATAAATAAGTATTTTCAGAAGTTCAGCAACCTCATCTTCTGGGTTGCTTCTGTTTCAATGTTTGCAATAGAGATGGTCTCATTACATCCAATTATCCAGGAGGAGGAAGCATACAGGCCTGAGTAGCTACTGTTTGTTGGCATTAGCAAAGCACCATCTTTCCCACCAGCCTTCCAACACAGGCATCTGCTGCCAACATCTATCAGAATTCTCCAGTGCCAACTGGCTGGAACATCAGTCCTTACGCTAACCCTGGTGATATGGGGAAATACAGACTCGGTAACCTGGTTGGCCTTTATCCATCACTATCCATGAATGTGTGGAAATGAGTGGAAGAAGATGGACTTGGTTTCAAGGGCTGCTGCTTCTCAGAGGGGAAACGGAAAGAGTGATGGCTTCTATTAGCTCCTTGTCTGTCTGGTGGATCTTGTATCTTTTCCCCATTGACAAACTGGGTCCTATAACAGAGGTCAGGGCATCCACCCTCAGCTCTTAGT